TTGCCACTGCACTGCCACTAGTGCCACTATTCTGGCTCGGACTCGGCACTACTGATCAGAGTGATTAGGGGCGCATGCGTGGTAGACATTGTTACCACCCTCACTTCACATAACAAAAGTTATTAACTAATAAAAATATATAATACGTTGTTTTGAATATCAAAACAACGATGAATTTACCTTTAAAATTTACGAAAAAATATTAATTTCAGTTTGCATTAGATTTTAGAAAAATTCAATACCCTCCAAAGCACCATCAATGCTGTAATTTTCTCCTCAGACCTAAGGATCGGTATGGTTGGCCGGAATATTGCACTGTTTTGCTTTGGAAATATAACCTAGATCATTGAATAGTCAAAGCCTAGATGCAGTACAACCATAGATTAAATATAACTCACTCAAGTCGACTTCTTATGACATTGTTAATTCAAAATTTGTCAATGTCTAGTTTATGTTGGTGACACTTGACGTTAGTTATCACGTCATTTTGTTTCTATTATTTTAGGGTTAGTTCTATGATGTGGGTTTTAATTTCTTTTAATATAAACAGGAGACGACCTATTTTTAATGATTAGATTGTGTTATTTTGGATAAACTAGGTTTAAATATAGATGAAACGTACTCCTTAAATAAAAAGAATTGTTTTCAGCTAGGCTAATCCAAAACGATGACAAATCTTCTAAAGGAGTATGTTTAATCTAAGGTATCACGTACTGTATGGAGTTCATGTTTTTGACCCTGAATTGGAATCAATGGCCATGTTTTTTTTGCATGAATGCTCGGTGAGTTGAGTTGTTTTGTTTCAGTCCCACGGCGGCCACGGCCACAAACGTGAGCATTTAGTAAAGACATAAATTTGCTAAAATTGTTTAAGACGGCATTTTGTTAATGCTAAACAAGTCAATTCTTTAAAAAAACTTGCAATGCAACGATTCCGACGAAGAGTGGTATTCAAGCAATTAACTTAAGCCTATGGTCGTGATATAGCTTTAAATAAAGGTTTGAAGGAAAGTAACTGTGACCAGACTAGGGGGCGGAAAATTGTTTTGGGCCTAGGGGCGCAAAAATGCTAAATCCGGCCCTGAAACTATGTGCTTTTTCCAACTTTTAAAAGAACTTTTGTGAATTATAACCTAATTAATGTAGGCTACTCTATAATAATAATATCAAGCAAAGAAGATTTTTATTTTAATAAATGTTGATTGTAATATTAATATGGTTGCCTCCAGTTTGTTCAATTATTTGCTTTATAGTTTTATGTATATTAATTTTTTTTATTTCTTTGTTGTGTTTTAGTATCTTTTGAAATCCCAAGTGCATTCACTCCAGGCCGGTTTTTGACTCCTTCAGCGCCCTAGGCAAAACTAATAAAAGCGCCCCTTTGTGTCAACCGGCCGGGAAACCCAGGAATTATGATGGATTTTTTTTTACTGGAAATTATGCGTGAATTTTGTATTTCTTCTTTGGATAATTTTCAATTTACCGCGATCGCGCATGACAACAGTGATTATTATGTCTACACGACCGCGGGAGACGATATAGATACAGTATAATGATGTCTTCACGGCCGCGAGGGATGATCAGATTCACACCGTGATCACGCCAGACGATGATAATGTCCACACGACGGCTGGGAAAAGATAAATACTGTATATAATGATGTCTTCACAGCCGGGGGGGATGATCAGAAATTTGTCTCATTCACGGAAGACAATGATGATATCTACTCGACCACGGGGAGATGATTACCAATTGACGTAATCGCGGGAGACGTTCTGATAATGTCTTCTCAGCCCCAAAGGATGAACATAATTTTCCCCGATCGCAGAAGACGATGATAATGTCCACACGACCGCAGGAAACAGTCAGAATTCGGCCGCTACTGTATTGCGGAAGACGATGATGACACGACTGAGGGATATGATATAATTACTTTTTCCGCGATCGCGGGGGACGATTATGATGTCCACATGGCCGCGAGGCATTACCAGAAGTTTACCGCAATTGCATGCAAATTATCATTTTATTATTTTATATGCAACCATTATTTTATTTATTTTCCAATTTTTTGGCGCCCCCCAAAAAGCTAAATTACCTCGCGCCCTAGGCACGTGCCTATTCGGTAAATCGGCCGTGATTCATTCTGCACTCATCTTTGGAGAGGAAACATTTTGATGAACCATGCAAGAGCTAATAAGTACTTCTTCATTTCCTGCCAGAGTCAATGTTGGTAGTATTACAATGGCAGGAAAACAAATTAACAATGATGAAGCAAAATCCTTTCAATTTCACACAAAATAACATTTTAAATAACCATCTCTTACACAAACCTTTCTTATTAGTTCCATCTCACAATTAGGCCTACATACAATTAAAAATTAAATTGCCTTATAAAATTTAATCAAACTGCTGGGAAACAATATAGTCATCTCTGAAACTTTTGATTAGATTTTTTTCTTTCAGAAATACCAAAAACAACATGCACCACGGGCTGTGGTTTAACAGCTATTGAAATAATTAAAAATTTCATGAGTAAATTATCCCACTCTCTTGACGTCATTGGTTGGTATGTCAGGAAGGATGATCATCTATAATTGTATGTGGTTAAGAATAATAGCTATACATGGAAAATAACCATCAAGGAAAGTAGCAATGCGATATATGTATGAGATGTGTTACCAGTGGTATAATTGCACAATTTCCCTCCTTTTGCTCTTTGGGGTCAAAACTTATCAAATAAGATATCCCTACCTCTGGCCTTGGTCGTTAGGTAGGTTAGTGTTTTGTTTCCTCTTTTAGCGAATTTCCCATATAGGGAATAAGCTATTACCGTAGGTCTCATGGTGAGACCTAAACCCAGGACGAATATTTACTTTTTCGTTTTAAAGTCCCCAGAGGCAAAAAAACCCCTCTGTTCAAATTCATATATATATGAAGTAAAGTTTCTTGCTGTATCATCCCAAAGTTTAGTATTATGATGAGGTGTGTGTTTTGGGTTTATACCTTTTGGTAATAAGCTTTAATGTAACATAATTCTCCATAGCTTTCTTAGCTGGACACAGCTCTGTTGTGTGTTTTTTTAAGCCACAGAAGTAACATGTCTGGGTTAAGTAAACATGCTATACATGATATTTATACAGCAAGTTCTAGTGCTCTCGCTCGGAAAACTGCTTCTTCCAGTCAAAATTTAGCACTCCATAACAACTGTTGAAGAATATGAGGCACTATGGCAAACTAATGAATGTGTTTTTGCATTCATTTACTGGATACAACATTGACAGCTTCAAAGCTGCAATCTTTGGAAAGGCTCTTGAGTGATTCTACATAAGTGTCCATGCTCTCACCAGTTTCTTGAGGTTTGATTTCAAGTTTGTTACGTTATTTGACAAGTTTGAAGAACAAATGTTTCAAAATATTTATAGATTTTCTCTGTTTCACAATCATGACATAGGTACACCTAAGATAACTAAATTGATAAATGATTTAAACCTTAATTCTTCACTGATAATACTCGTTTTGAGAAAGTTTTCAAACATTACCAACCAATGTTTCCAATTCCAATCTTGATTTGCGCTTTAGATTCATTAAGACTTAAGTTAGGCCTAAATCTTTCAGTTCTAAATATTTCTTCTATAAAAAAAGATTGGCATCGTATGCTTTGATAAAAACTTCTTTTGTTCAATACATTATTTAAGATTGAATAGATAGTAAATACCTAGAGTTAAAGATGTGTCTATAAGGATAAGGAACATATGTCAGCCTTAGTCAGTAATAAGACTACAAGATCGCGCCACTCATCTGCTCCATTCATACTTAGCTTAAAATACCTAACTTTGTATGGTGGGCATTTCAATTAAAAGTGTAAAGTATTTATAGAACAAGAAATCCTCCATTAAACACAAATTCAATATCTAATATCAACATAAAACAACGTAATAAAATAATGATCTGCTTACCCCTAAGGTTATAGTGCTCGCTCGCCTTTAAATCTGAAGGTCAGTTGCTTTAGTTCTCTAAGTGATATCGTCACTATAGACTCAGATGCCATTTTTAACTGGACTAGCAGAATTCAATTCAGAATTAACGTTTGATTTTCAAAAATAGATGAGGAAACAGAGATACAATTAAAACTAAATGAAATTAACTCTCTTTGTAGTTTGTATTCCCAGCCTCATGTTTATAGACTTAATACTTTTAATTGAAATGGCGACCTTGACCATACAAAGTACATAAGCCAAGTATGAATGGAGATGAGTGGCGTGATCTTGTAGTGACTAAGGCTGACATATTCCTTAGACACAGCTGTTAATTAATAGCCCATACAGCTAATGGCAACTAACGGACCTACAGTTTTTACTTGTGGAATCCAACCACATTTTTGCCTTGGTGTATACGAATTGGTCTAATTTTCAGGATAGTACTGCGGATAGTCGTATTACTCACTAGTGCGGACGTTAATCCACACCAGGGAGTATCACATCCACAGTGCATTCCTATAAATATCCACAATTTGTGATATCCTAGAAGCTGGATTACACCGTCCCAGTAACCAACAATAAGACTGAAACAGTGACAACTTTGTGTAAGTTAAGCTGAACATTAAGGCAAGGTAGTGTCTAATGCAGTGAGAAAATCCCTTGGGATGCTTTTGTTATCAAGATAAGACATTGCTTTGGCCAAAGACTATTTAAAGCCCAAGGACAGCGTTTTGGGTCCAGTTTTTAATCATAAAATAATGCCGACTTTTCTCACAATGAAACTGGCCCCCTTCGGATTGTCAGACAAGCACTATCGCTACTCGGCTACACTAAGACGGTTTATATCAGTGGAGTAGTGGGGCGGGAACAGCATTCTCACTCTGCTCTACCAAAACTGAAATATATTAATTGGCGATCATGGTAAGTGTTCTCCTTTTAGAAAATTTACGACCAAACCACTGGGTTATATAGATATAAAATACATGAACAATAACAAAATACAAGGTATAAAAGGACCAAAACAAACTTTTTAAGTTGCTTTAATGATAACAAAATGGGTTTGAAAAACAGTACAAAAGAAATTTTGCAAAATACTGACAGAGATCTTTGGTTTCTGGAAAAAAATCATCGTGCAAGTTATCTCTAGTCGTCTATACAAACATGAACGTAGCGATGGAATGGTAATAAATGCATCTCAAAGATATAACCATTATAAAATTTGAACCACTTTACGAATGAGGAACAATTGTACTCCTTCTAAGCAACATTTTGATTATAACACAGGATAAGTAGGTAACATATGCAGGAGTGGTATAAGTACTCCGCAACTATGTGATATCAGGGCCTAGGATTTGAGCTCTTTGTCGAAGATGAAGATGCCGAGACCTTCCTTTCCAACACGACGGATGTTGGTGAGTTTGTCTCCTAACTCCTTGATGGCGTCCACTTGCTCCTGGAGGAACTCGGACTCCAAGTAGTCGCAGAGGTTAGCGTCGTTGTGAACATTTCCAATTTGATGGAGCGACAACAGGCTCTGCAAAACATCAAACAATGAATAAAAACACAGGCAGTTTTGTTTTTGTGGTACCTAGTACAATTTCTGAAAGAGAAAAAAAATTAATTTTGATGTCTATATACTACCATACTACACAACTGTGCTTATCAAAGCATTAATAGAACACTCAACAAATTACACTGCAAAATATGATTAATATAGAGTAATAAACAATTCATTTGATTCAATAAGTTTAAAAATAATAAAAATTGTAATGAAAAATGTTGTAGTGCACAAAATCTGGAATAAAAATAGAACTGACAAACTCAACTCGATCTGATTCCTTTTTGTCTTAGGGATAAAACTAAATACTATAGCCCTATAATGCATTTATTGAACTGATTTTTGCTATATAGTATAACGAAAACCTTTTAAGTTTAATCCCCTACATTATATGTTCATCCGCTAGCTGTGGAGTTATTATGCAACAATTGCAAACAGAATAATTTATAGGTTGCACAACTTTGGAGTGCAAAACTATAACACTTTAAAGTAGACAAAAGATAAATAAACATATTCCTCTTATGAATGATGTTAATATACTAAATCTAAAAATATCCACAGTAAAAATGATTCCACTTAAGGTTTAATTAACTAAGCCTAACACCAAAGTGCAAATAAGCATTTAGTTGAAGGAAATAGTTATTTGTGCAACTAGTGAGAAAAGTGAGCAATTGACTCACTCGAGAGAAATCCTTACTCACGAGCAGTAGGCGAGTGAGGAATATGGTTTCTCGAGTGAGGCAATTGTACTTTGAACTCGAGTTGCACATTATACTTTTCCTACAATTACCATAAAACAAATAAATTTGTGAAGAAACATAACCTATTTTTACACAGAAGTGAACTTTTAATATAACATTTAATGTGAAGTGACAAATACAACAGTACAACAGCTGACCAGCTGATTTACAGCCAGTGCTGCCAACGCATTTCGCACGCATACGACGTTGCCTGCATGTTACGTGCTAACTATTTCGTGCCTTCACGTTGCAAATCTGGAGTGAGACAAAGTAATTAGAGTGAGACAATGTTAACATTGTCTCACTGGTGAGCGAATTGGCCACTTTGCTTTCTCAAATCAGTGAGCGAACATGTACATTGTTAGGTAACTGTAGGAAAAGATAGTTTTTTACTTTCTTTATTAAAATGTAATAATAAATTTGAAAAATATTCAAAGTATTTAGGACAAAGCTAAAAAACGTAATAAAAATGTCAAATAGCTTCTTAATCAGCTTAATTTCTTAATTTCAGGTAAATTTACAGAAATGAAATAAAATTGTGTAAAATAACACCTGAAGCATAAAAAAAGTTCAAGTGTTTTTAGACATATTGTCATTTAATTTCTTTATAATACTGAGTAAAAAAGTTTAAAGAAATATAATGAACAAAATAATACCTGATGAGGTTATTAAATTTATTCAAAAATGATTTACTTCCAAGGTAATCAAGTTTCAATATCTGCAAAGTAGGACAACAACAAAGTCAAGGCCAGGTTCAGTGACTCATCAACAAACCCAAACACTGGCCTCAAGTGATAAACTAGCTACAATCAGCTGTTTCTTGGAATGGATTCTGAGGAAACAAAAAACATGCCATGTGATCATGGTCTGGGAAACAGCTGATTCATGTTATCATGTGCATTACACCACAGAGGAATTATCCAGATGTTTCATATCTGTATCCACCCAGTTTTATTTCACAACTCATCATTGTAATCTACACTCTCTAAAGTTGCACCATTCTAGTGATTTGAGATCAGTGTTGTTGTACTGGTTAAGTTTATAAGATAAGCAAAAAGACTTGGCCACTAGACATAAACCTAGTTGCAAGATAAGCTTTGAAATTGCCTGAAAAGCAAGTCATGAGCTTGCTAGCAGGAAAGCAATAAGCTAGCTCCAATATCTTATCAACTGTGATAGTGGCAAGTGGTTTGACTCATCATATGGGGAACATGGAAAACTTTAACAAAAACAATGACAAGTTTTACAGTATTGTGACATAGAGCTGAAATAGACATCGTTATGTAATACTCGAGATAAGGTTAACAAACAAAAGGCCAAAATTATTGTTACCAAGATTTTCATATTTTCGGTATTTTTGTAGACAAGAAAAGGGATTGTGGCTGTATGCAGTCATTATTCAACGATTTGATTAAAAATTATTTTCTAACGAGAAGCTCACTAAACTTTCCTAACAGCAGTTCTACAAGTAGAACATTTATTAACTTAGTTCAAAAGCTAGAACACTTCAAACGCATACTAATTTGGTGTAAACCTAATTTAATTTAATTAATAATATGATCAAAGTTTTTTGTCAAGCGATAGTTTTACTTTCATGGTTCAAACAATATAACTTATCTATTTTAAAAAGTATAAAATTATAATTTTCTGTAAGTTATTGATGGAAATGGGCAAATTCATGTCACAGCCTTCATCATCTTGCAGATTTAACCATGACAACCTTTAAGAGCTATCATTTTTTAGCTTTTCACTTTGTTCATACTGAACTGATGACATGGTTGTGCAACTTCATCCAAATTGAAGAAAAATGTTTAAATGTTCTGAAACATTTTTCTCAATTTTGTACCTAGGACACAAATGTAGATATGAAAGTGTAGATTTTAATGTATAGTAAACAATATGTTATTTTTATTTAGGCAATACAAATTATGTAAGCAACACACAACAGGGTTTGGTTTTGTCGAAAATTGCTTGCCTCGAGCAATAGTTGGCTTAAGGTAAAATTCAATCAGCACTCTAAACAAAATTGAGATTTATTCTTTCCATTAGTTTTTTTACTCCTGTTTGGAAAACTGTCATCAAACTTAGGCTTACAAAAAAAGTCATTAAGTTATGATTGGAAAATTAAAATGGTTTTACTACAAACATTTTATAAATCCAATTTACCTAAAATCACCTATAAAATGTGATCAATAATATGTGTTATGTTTAATTTTAACTTTCTAAACCAGCTTTTTTAATTTTAGTTAAAAATAATATCATAATGTTGGTAATTACTCCACGATATGCCAGAAAGTTATAGGCTTAGTAATTGATTTTAAATTTTAAAGCAAGTATTTTTTTCCAATCTTTTTTTTGTTAGTAGTTTTTACATAAATAAATAATGACATCTGCCTATTATAAAATGTGCAAATATGGAATTAAAAATCATGCAAATGAGTGTGGCTCTTTATTTTGCTTAATAATTAGTTGTTTTAATTTATTTTAAGTTAATATCCAACTATTGTTTATGTTTTTTTTACTTTTTTTAGTTATTCCTTAAATGTGGGCTACCTCAATTAAATAAATTATTATTTATTACTTATTAATTAATTATAATGTTGGGAATTGACAATTTGAAATTCTTACCAATTCTACTTTAGAGCTAGATGAAATGAAATACGTGATGATGTTTAATGATGTAACATATAATGAAGTTTAGATCAGATATTCATTATATAAGCATTACTTTGACCAGTAATTTTCATTTGTATTAATTTAAAATAATTTAATTAGTATTTGTTTTGGATTTTAATTACTTAATTCAATATTTTATCTGTAACCCACTTAATGAATAAATTAATGGTTTGGTTCTACCATAGGTTGAATACAACACTTAAATGTCAGCCAAACACAAATGTTTAAAATTGTTCTGTCTGATAAACCTATCTAAAAATTTTTTACCATCAATATTGGCAAATTTTGCTGAATTTATACCTATTTTAATCGGTAAACAATATTTATCTTCTATTGCATGTCCTCTGCTTTTGTAAGTAAAGAGTGAAAAGGAAACAATCTATTTGTTCACTTAAACACTTGGTCTACATTGCACACTCAAAAGTAACCCGTACATGAAATAAATACACCAACACAGGCTTAAAATTTTACAACTGTAAGATAGATCTACTTTAAGTCTCTAAGTTAAAAGATGTACTCACGGTGTTGACATCTTTCTCAAGCTGTAAAGCTGCCAAGAACGCTTCCTCTGCATTGCCCCAGTCATTCCTAGGTGGCTGCTTAACATCGTAGAGTACAATTCTTCCTCCCCTCTTGTTCAAATACGTCATCAGCTTCTGAGCATGTTCCCTCTCCTCGTCAGAATTCTTCTTGAAAAATTCACTGATTCCGTGTAATGCTACATCGTCACGATCAAAGTAGTATGCCTAAAAAAAGGAAAAGTGGAGGTAAAAGACTGAAATAGATATTTTAGTATTTAAGTTAAAAGTTGCTGGTCTTGATCCCAAGTTTGTGTTTGATAAACATTATTATCAACAAGATAGCCCGCTAGTAAAAAAATACTTTAAAAAATTATAAGGTTCATAAATGTATATTCCATTACTATCGAGGGGTTTGTTTGTGTTAAATCATTTAATACATACTACAGCCAATGACACAATACAGTGTTAAAAAAGAACTGTCGCAAAAAAAAGTTTAAATTTCAACTGAAAAATACTTGGTGATTAAATACAGTGTGTTTCATTTATTTATTCTAATTATTTAAAATAAATATTTAATTTAATTAATAACTTACAGCTATACTTTTGGCGTTTAAAACAAAATTATTGTGAAATGGAATTAGATTAGGAAAACTTAAATTACAACTTGCTCCAAATAGGGGGTACACAAGAAAAAGAAACTAATTTTATCAAGTGAAATAAACAAATATTTTATGATAAAACGAATGATTTTTTTGATAAGTCATACACTAATCAATATTGTTCACAATTAACATAGCTTGTAAACCTACTTTGAAATTAAAAATACTTTGAATTGTAATTATTTGAGTAAAAGAATTATGTAATAAAACTGACAGGTAAAAACAAGATCACTTACCATAGACAAGTAGACGTAACTTGCGTATAGTTCCATGTTAATCTGCTTGTTGATGCCATTTTCAGAATCTTCGTGAAAATTTTGACGAACTTGACTGACGGCCATGGTAAAAATTCGAAATTGTAGACCTCACTGGGTGCTGACAATTTCTAATGGAAAAGTAATTGACGGAGAAAACCGGAGGTATTCAGCAACTGTATGGATTCTTTGCTTGTTACAACCGCATTTATAGTGTACGCAGTATCTACGTCATTGACCTTTGATCAGTCAGCTGATAACGCTTGTGGAGGGAGAACGAGATCGAGAAACAAAGCATCGTCTGCTTCTGCAAAACTAGGGATTCAGGTTGGCCACACTTCCTACAAACGCAGAACGACAATCGCTTGTATTACTTCGTATATAGTATAACGTGTATATAAATACTATCCTACTAATATTATAATAATGTATTTATATATATTAATAATAACATATTATATATATATAATACAATAATATAAAAGAAAGGCGTGGTTGTGCAAGCAAAACAACAATAATTATACTGTTACCATTGCAATCTTTACCCCCTCTCCAGTAGTTATATATTCTCTCTCATTGCTTAATTGTAACCACATTTCACTAAAATACTTCGCGTACGTATTTCAGTCGGAATATAAATGGGGTGGGGGTATGTTGTGGCATGATTTGTGTAGCTTTTATTTGCTGTTTCAGACCAACTGATTTCTTTAAAAGAACCCTTTTATAAAAACCATATTTGCTGTTTCAGACCAACTGATTTCTTTAAAAGAACCCTTTTATAAAAACCATAGCCCAATTATCAAGAAACAGGGAAGTGTCCAGGTTCGGAACATTGGTCCTCTCCATCTTCTGACTTTTCTTAGGATAGAACCAGCATCCTTTTCATTTGTATTCTAACGTATGATACTATATGTACCAACTCATCATTTCTAAGGGTCATCACGCTCCACCGGAGCTGATAAATTAAACAATGGACATATTTTTTTCGTAAACCACTATTATGATTTTATGCTTTGTAGTCACTTTTTAATGATTTTTTCACTTACATTGCAAGTACTCTCAGATTAAATAGCGAATGCTGGAGCTCGAATGACCGTATACGCCAGACTGATAAATTGCATATCTCATAGGTGAAATAAAATATCGGTGGTTACTGGCTAAAAATATAAAACACCCGTGGTAGGGGAGGCAGAAATATGTCAAAACCACAACACTTCCCGCGTCCCTCCACACACAGACGTAGACGACTTATCTACTGACCTTGTACGTTAGTCAAGGGCATCAGGCTACTGTTTTTCAGAACTCACTAAGGGGGGGGGGGGGGGTAGATCTTTGGTTTAACTTTGAAATTGAACTGTAACAGTTTCGAGGCAAAGTCCCTATTTGAAATATTGCTGCCCAACATTTTAATCGATTTCTATGAATTTGCTGATTTAAAATTTTTTTGATCAAGAATGGTCAATTTTATGCCCCTCCAAGAGGCTTGAGTGTGTGTGGCTGCAGCTTGCGTCGCACACCCCTCAGGCCAGCCCTGTGGCGATATTAAAATAATAATACAATTCCCGATTCTCCCAGTTCCAAGTACTTTATCCCTTAGGGGTCAAGTCGTGGTAGAGCTTGGGATTTCAGAGCCCGAAGTCCCGGGTTAAAATCCCGCCAATCACTAATGTGTATATTTTATTTCAAGTTGCATAACACATAGTGGCATCCCCATCTTATATAATTGATAATTGGCATGTGTTTATAAAGATAAATAAACAGTCTGAATCTGAATGTATTTGATCTATAACCTATGATAATTCTGCAACCACGACCCTCATTTGGAATATTGTGTAATGTCTAAAATATATGCAGTTCAGCCTGTTCTCGATATAACCTACCGATCGTACGATGGGACATAAAAAGTACTTATCCCTTAACAAAAATGGCGGACAGCGAATCGTAATTATTCTCTAAATCAGGGTTTCCCCCCCCCCTGATGTTTGTATCTTTAGATGGTGTGGTCTAGCCATAGCCATAGCCCATAGCCTCCTCCAAGTGATCACCGTGGTCACAACAGATCATCGCATATGATCATCATGATGTTACTACTACTGCTCGAACACAGGATAATGCTCAAGATAGGACCGCGATCACGAATTAAAATCATAATGCCACGTGATAAACGTACATTACGCTAAATTTATCGTATATTAAGCAGAAAAAACACCTTTTCTCAATTTAAAAAATAAGTTTGATATTTTAATTAAAAGTATCTTGTTTTGTTTATTTCAAGGATTTCAAGAGAGTGTATTAAAATTTAATCTATGCCTGTAGATTTGATTGGGCTGTCAATGGATTACTGGAGCACGAGTGGAGTGGGAGTGGAGAGTAAAGCGAGTGAGTGTAGAGCAGTGTAGAGACTAGAGAGGGTATTTGGAATTGGACTGGACTGGAGGGAGAGTGTTTTTTTGGGATAAAGCAAGCAAGGCAGCAAAGAGAAAAGAAATTGTAATATTGTAAACATTATAAAATTTTCTAAATACTCAATATGAACACAATGTTATTGATAAGTTAGCTTCTGTAGTTTTAGAAAGGTCATCTTAGTTAATTTAAAATGGTTAGGTATAAGCATTGGAAGATATTAACAATACTATTAAAAATAGTTCTTGGTATTTCTGCATCTACTCATTGGGTTGTTACTGAAAATGGCAAAATTCAGTCACAGGTGGGTTATCTTTTAAATACATAAAACTAGCCTAGGCCTAGGTGCACTAATTTTAGATCAAATTGCATACCTCAAAATACAAAATTATTGTCTGCATTAAAAGATTCCAAATGGTTATTTTGAGCCAACCACTCGATTACCATCTAGGCGAGTTTTCTAGTTGGTGAAGTCGCAGAGGCCAGCAAACTACAACAGTTGAGTTCTGTGTAGGGCCCACTTAAGTTAGACATGACATGATAAGTTAGTACCTTGTTAAGTTTAGTTGAATGGTATTTTAATTCACTCTTCGTGGACTAATACCATGACCCTTCTTTTACCATTTATGGTTTTTATTTTTTGTGGTCATAGGTTAGTTAGGCCTAAATGTTATGAACTAACTTAAGTTAGGTGGATATAAAATGCAGCTAAAACAGGACATGCTAGCCCTGAAGGATAGGTTTCGTGAGACCAACCAAGCGGTGGACAAGGCAGCTTACCTAAACTCCAAAAAGGTCTACAAGCAAATGATTGTGGAAGCCAAGAAAGAGGCAAATGTTAATCTGATTGTCTCAGCCAAAAATCAATGGAAGGCAGCTTGGGATGTGGTCAAAACGGCCTCAAGAAGCAGTCGGGCGATATAAAAACGCCCACATAATCCAGACCAATTTAATAGACTTTTAAATTGGTTCTGTGGATAGTATTGTAGCCGGTTTGAAATCTTCAGATCCTAATGAGGTATTGCTGGATGTTGAGGCGAGTACCCAAATTGTATCTTGGCAGCCTACTACCCCAACCGAGATTGAGAAAATTGTCGCTAGCATTAAGAATTCAAACAGCCCTGATTTTTACGGTAGGTAGGTATGTCTACAACTTGGTTGAAGCAGGTGATAGGAAAACTTTCTCAACCTCTATCGCTGGTCTTGAACAACTTTTTGAAGAGAGGTGTTTTTCCTCCCAGCATGAAAATTGCTTGAACTGTCCCCATTTACAAGAAGGCAGAGAGAGATAGACTGGACAGCTACAGGCCCGTTTCTATCTTACCAGTTTTCGGTAAAGTCGTGGAGGCTCTGATGACTAAGCAGCTCTGTGAACACCTGGAGTCAAACAACTTGCTGACGGATGGTCAATTTGGATTCCGTAAGGTCCGATCCACAACAGGAGCGGTAATGAGGCTGGCAGGTCTGGTTGGCGAGCCATTTGAGGATTGTAACACAGTCACCTTCACATTGTGCGATCTAAGCCGCGCATTTGACTGTGTCAACCATACCCTACTGGTTAGGAAATTGGAGAGTCTTAGAGTAGGTGGCACTGTCCTCAAGACAATTGAGTCGTATCTTTCGGGTAGGCAGCAGGTGGTCTCCATTGAGGGGGCGATTTCAGCACCTCTAGAGGTAGCTTATGGAGTCCCGCAAGGATCTGTCATTGGACCACTTCTCTTCCGTGTCATGATTAATGACCTTGACAAGACTGGAAATGTATTATTTGCTGACGATACTACCATTGTGTCACGAGGACTGCATGTTGATCAGTCTGTAGCGGGAGCGGAGCAACACTTACCAGAAGCTTCGAACTGGTTTAAGGCCAATGGCTTCCAGCTGAACCAAACTAAAACACTGTCTCTTGTCTGCAGTCTAGCCAAACGTGCTCCTCCGAATGATCCGGTGAAGTTGTTGGGATTCACAATCGACCAAAAACTAAAAACCTCCCGAAACCTTCAAAACTTATTATTAAAATTAGACGTTGTATTGTAAGAAACTTGTGTATCCTACACAAAGAAAACAATTTTAATGAAGAGCGTTTAGTGGTAACCCTAAAAGTAAGGATGAAAAAATTAAATACTTTATTATAAAAAAACAAAATTTATTTAACTAAATAGTACCTATGCGTACGAGCAAAATCTGTATCTGAATCTGAAACCAGAATGAAGAATTCATTCCGGTAACCAGGTGCCTGCGCGCGGGCTCGGAAACCGGCAGCCACTACGGCCACTTCCATTTAAATGCATGTGCCATTCCTGCCGCCGAAAATCGGAATCGAAACCTGAATCTGAATCATCTGGACATACCGTTATTCTGTTTTTATTTAAGTTAATCTTGTAAAAAACACTGTCGAGGGTTGACTTAGCATAATTTTTATAATATGTGTTCTGTATTTAAAGTTTTCCAAGAAATGTAAGAAGTGTCAAGATGTTTGATTCACCTATTGTTTTGCTCAACACTGCCTTATTTAAAAAACAATTTCCATGAAGATACCATTTATTGATCATTTTGTATTCACTGTTAAAACATATACCTAACAAGTCTTAGACGTCCTAGTTTGATACTGTAACCGTTTTCCTCAAAATCTTAAGAGACCTCAGTGTTATCCAAAATTTTCGGTAACCGAGGTAGTATCAGTCCCAACAACCTCGGTTAGTCGGGAGTGTAGGCCTACTCTATTCATTAATTTTCCCCCGAAAATTGCTTGTAAAGGTGCACCTGAAATCTCCAAACATCCTTGAATTTAATGGTGC